ATCCACATATCTAGCCACGACCCAGTTGTCCATCCATCCATCCATCCACGTTTCTAGCCACGACCCACTTGTCCATCCATCATCCATCCACCTATCTAGCCACGACCCACTCGTCCATCCATCCATCCACGTGCCACCCACACATTTAGCCACCCGTCCGCCCACTCATCCTCCCACCCACTCATCCATACGTCCACATGTCCATCCACCCATGTGTGCATCCGTCCACCTACCCCTCTGTCCACCCACTGACCGTCCATCCCCTAGCCATCCATTCTTATCTTTGGTCAACACTTATTTATAGAAGACCAGCGATGTTGGTGCCGGGGAAGAATTGTGGGGGAAGCCGAGGGGGAGGAGTGGGAGCAGGACATGACCCGAAGGCCGGCGGCCACTGCTCTCCGCCTGGGCTCCTGCAGTGAGGACGGCGGCAGGCGCTGGCCGAAGGGAAGGAGGGAGGGAGACGGGCCGAATGGCGGCCACCTGAAGATGTCCTCGTGCACAAACCCTGAGAACGTGAGGCCTCACTGTGGCCAGAGATGGGGACACATGAGGTGAAGTTCCTGAGTGCCTTCCCGGGCACATGGCTGTGGCAACCTTGTCATGGATTGCCCAGGGGGTCCTGTCACCACAAGGTCCCTAGGAGAAGGAGGCAGGAGACCTGCTCCTCGAGTCCCTGTGTGACCAGCACGGCAGCTCCTCTGTCCTCCAACGCGCGGTCAGCCTCGACACCAGCTTTGTCTACCTGTCCTCCTCCACACCCTGCGCCCTTCTGGCACCAGGACCACTTCTGCCCTAAGTGAGCCCCAGGTGCCACAGAATGGGTCTGTGACCACTTTGGCCCAAACTCAGCAAAAGCCACCTTTAAAAGGCGCGTGTAGCCTCCTAACTCCCAGAGTGACCCAGTCAGCCTTCGGATTCGCTTTACACCTGTGTGGCGTCGGGGCCCAGCAAGGTGGCTGGTCGACAGGGTCCTTGGCAGCTGGACTCCTCTCCTGGTCTGTCTCTCCCCGCCTCCTCCTTCCTCCTCCCCCCTTCCTCCCCCCTCCTCCCCTCCTCCCTCCTCTGTCCTCCTCCCCTCTTTCTCCTTTTCATCCTTCTCCATCCCACTGCGTTTGGCACAGGACCTGGGCTAAGGCAGGGAAGCTGGGGAGGCTGTAGCCAGAGGGTTGGAGAACCTGCCGTGGGGACGC